TATATATATATATATATATATATATATATATATATATATATATATATATATATATATATATATATATATATATATATATATATATATAATTATTATTTTTTATTATTACTGTATCTCAGCTCACCAGTAAAACATTAAAAGCATTGCTCCAGGTAAATTTCGCTGCACGTTTTTCAAATGACAACGCCACTAGAGGGCGCTGTGAAATTTTTTTTTGTGAATATGAAATGTATTAAGTACGCATTTTGTTAAATATTTTCATATACATTAAAGCGTATTGAACGCAAGTCTTTTTTGGACTCTTTTATGCATTGCAGTTAGGCTTAAGGTTGAGTTAAATTGTATCGAGTGTGTAAAATACAGTAACTGTTTTATTACCAACTAGCTCAACTCATCGGAAATTCGTGCCTCTGCCTACATTTTTGCAAAACGTAAAAAGCATTGCTCCAGGAACATTTTGTTGCACGTTTTAAATGACAAAGCCACTAGAAGGCGCTGTTTAAATTCTTTTGCAAATCTGAAATACCAACATAATTAACTACGATTCGCAACTTTTGATTTAGTGACTAATTCATATGAATTCGTACAATTTAGTATGATTTGCTCAGGTTGGGTTTAGGGGTGGGGTTGGGTGCCACGCCTGCTTTTTAAAATTGTACAATTTCGCACAACTGAACTCGTACAAATTAAACTGACAAAATGTAAAATACTTGCGTTTCCTTGTGAGATCAGCCTGGAAATACGGTACTTAGTGTGCATTTTGTTGCCTATTGAAGGCAAGTCTGTAACCTTAAACCTATAACCAAAACTGCTAATGCTAATCACTGCGTCAAACAGATGTGTCAAAAGAGATTCAAGAAATAATGGCAAGATTTGTTTTTTGTGGCCTGTTATACACGTTTTGGATACTTTTTTGCATTGCAGTTAGGGTTAAATCGTTAAAGTTCAATCGTAATGAGTGTCAAAGTATAAAATATTGATCACTCGGAAAATAGCATGCTTTAAGAGTGGCGTGGTTAAGAGAGGACGGATCCTTAAATTAACCATTTCAAGACACTAAGACAAAAACTGATGTAACAATGTTGTCATTTTTTTAAAAGCCAAGTATTTTCCATCTTTAACGTATATCTATTGCAAGAGACCTCCAAAACTAAATTATGAACAGCTGAAATAGCAGAAAAGTATTTCTTTTCATTTCTGTCTTTTTGAATGATTAAAACAGGTGTCATTAGTTCAACCACACCACCACACCGCAACCAAAACAACAAAAAAATTCACTCTTAAAAGAGAAAAACTCAAATAATCCACAGGCATTTCACATAAATCCAGTTGTCTTTCTTTCTTTTTTTAGAGAGATACTATATTAATTATTTCATCTATACAAAACCAGTGACTATTAAAGGGAGGTGAAAAAATAGGGCTGGGTTGTATGACTGAAAAAAGTTAACCGGAAAACATGTACATGTAAAAAGTACATAAAAAAAAATATTTTCCCTGTTAAATGGTGACAAAACTAGTGGCAAAAGAAACATGAAAAGAGCAAGATGTGATGTTTTTATTCTAATGTGCTGTCAAAAGTTTGCTCACTTAAGCAAAATATTGCAGACTACGCATTTAAAAAAAAAACATATATTATTAAATACATATAATTTAGAAGTTTTGTCTGCCAGATTTGTTAAAAAACAAAAATACCTTTCTAAACAAAAACTCATAAAAATTACAGTTTTTTTTTCTAAATTTACAAAAAAAAAAAAGTTTTACTGTATTTTACAGTCCATTTATCAAATAT